CATATATAAATATTTACAATATCAATTTCAAAATTTGTGTAACCTGACTGGCCAATCACATGAAAGTCTTCCTATGAGATAGAATCATCAAATAACATATACAATTAGACAATAGATTTCTTATTTTCAACGCAGTCAAATTTACTTGAGAAAAATGCTCATCTTCAAGAATTACTATCAAAGAAAGAACCGAGAAGCACTTCACATAATGAAGTAGATACTTCACCCCCATCTATGAATAATTTGTCACAACCTTCCACTCTTAATTCTCCTATATTCTAGACAATTTCTGTGGATAGCGCAGAAGCAGTATCTTTAACAACTATCCCTGTCATTGCGAAATCCTTAATGTCACCATTGATAATATATACCATACTTACTTTACTACTTCTTGCAATTATATGGATCGTTGGAAAAAAATATGAAATTCATGGAAAAAAGTAATATTGAGTATTCTCTTAACTGGAATTATTTTTTGTCATCTCCAGGTATTTTTGAGGCCGAGCTGTATGATTGGAAACCAGAAGTTAAAAGATAGAAATAAAAGTTAGCCAGTATTATTGCATGAGAAAAAAATATATAAATAATATTATGCGAAACGTCTTAACGCAGTGATGGGTTTTGAATACATTTTTTAGTTTTAGACAAAGTTTTGGACATAGTCCAAAACCTGTCCAAAACTACCTAAAATTGTCCAATTTCCCAACACTGCCTTAACGGCTAAGTATTTTTAGTTGAAATTGCCATATCCTGCTAAGAGTACAATTTGATGATATTGTCTATATCGGCTTCAGCAAATTTTCAAAATACCTAGAAAGTTTATTGAAGGCTCTTGATATATTTTATAAGCCAGTTTTTTGCCTTTTTCTGAAAATATTTATTGATTTGCTTTTCCTTTATATCCAAATCTTTAATCTGCATTATTTTATCTGATGAGGGTGGTAGAAACATATCATCCTTATTGATAAAACGTGCACACATTCCTACCATTTGTTTTAAATAGTGACTGATATCTATCTTCATATTAAACTCTTTTGCAATTTTCGGAAACTCTATGTAATTGCTCTTTTTTGTTGATTTTAAACCACAACTATAAACCTTAGCCATGGAGTATATAAAATTACATGTATAAAATAGATTTCTATTCTATGGATTTTTTGGATTCGAAACAGTTATTGTCATTTCATTAGAACTATATTCATTATCTTCAAAATCGGTATTCTGCAATATTTTATCTCTTAGACTATAGAGCAGGCAAATTTGCCTGCAAAGTTTCTTTTTATAACAAGGGTCATCATTCATTACGACATAGTTAAAGTGTTTCCCAAAGTCAGGGATCTTTATATTTTTTTCTCTGCTTACTATTCTTTCTCTCATCTGCTTTATAAAGATTTTATTCATGCAAGACCTTCTTTAGCCTTTCATTTAGACATTGCAATAAACTGATTAAAATCCATCTGTTTAAATCTAGTATCCTGAAGAGCGTCTTCAACAATTTTATGAATTGAATGTGTGTTATTGATCTCATTGTCTCCCACATAATCTTTTCTTCAATAAACCTGAAGAGCTCAGAATTCTCTTGCTTCACAGTATCAATTCCTTTCATAAAGAGATCATCTGACCTAAAATTGACCACTTCTTTATGTGGTACACCGAAATATTTTTTCTTGCCAGTAAAGTAGATGGGAAATAATACCTCTTCATATGTCATTTTAAGATAAGATGTGCCATTTTTTATCCCAAGATAAGCATTTACTTGATCACACAAGCTTTTCATCACATTCATAGTAATTTTGACCATTTTGGTCCAGTATACTTTTTTAGAAAGATCTTTTCTAGAGAAGGCTTCATCATATTTTTCATAATACTTATCTGGACAGGTGAGATATAAAGAATTAGTATCACCATATTTTATCCTAAACCCTTTCTTTGTTATGAATTCTGCGATAAGATTAAGGTTATATTTTCCTACTAAAGTAATTCCTCCAGCTAATTCACGAAGAAAGATTGGAGATTTTGAGTTGCTTGCCTTTCAATAAAAAGTATTTATATATACCTTCAAAGCTCTTTGTTTCGAATCTGAATAATCGTAATCAAAACATACAGATGAATATTCTGAATTTAAGCTTTCCAAAATCCTTTTGCCTTTTTTTTTTAGCAAAACTAATCATTTTCCTAAGTTATAGCTTTTTCTTTCCTAGTGGGACAAGATGTGCTTTAAGCTCTACTCTCATATTGAATAAATCCTCTAATACAACAGGAAATAAGCCCTTCTTTTCGAATTGATTATCATGTCTTACACTCTAAGCTTGAACAGTGCAGTTATTGAATGAAAATCAATCTTATGTAAAATGTTTCCATTTTTTTCTGCAATATCAACCTCTCCATATGTTAGTATTATTTTAACTGGAGAGAGATTGTAAGCCATGATAAGACTGGGATATAATGAGATAAAGTCTAATCCTATTATAGGTCTTCTCGTTTCAATCCCCTTTTCAGATGAAAAAATGTATGCATTAGGATATTTTCCTTTTTCTATATTTTTGCATACTCTTGAGCTAAATACCATATCACGTTTAAAAGTATAAGCGTCCAGAAGGTTTCATACCTTCATTCCATTTGCATAATAGTGTGAGTCGACATGAGCTATAGAAATAACTTCTTTGTAATCATTTATTTGTCTTAGCTTTACCAAAAGCTCCTGGCAATGTAATACATCTATAATATAATAATTAGCTACTTTTCCTATTTTTCTTGCAGTTAAAGGAGAAGTGTTTTTTTTTGCTTCTGAATAGATTCTTCACATTTCATCATATGGCATGTCAGCTTTAGTGTCAAGGTCACACTTTTTTAAGAAGAATTTAAGTGACCCTTCCTTTTTGACTTCAGAACGGGGATAACATTTTTGAAATACACTCGAACGTTAATTGGTACTCAACCTGGCAGTTTAAGAAAACTGGAAAAGAAATCCTCTTCTGCAGTAATTTTGATCTTAATTGCTTCCATATAATCTTTCTTTTTCTCGACTTTCTCATCTGATCCCCATATACTGTACATGTAGTTCCCTCTTCATCTGTATCCTTCTTCTTTCCTTTTATCTTGAAATTATTTTCAGATTTTGCTCCTATCTTTCTACAATATTTCCACTTTAGAATTTCTTCCTTTGTTTTGAACTTTCCTGTCATTCGCTCTTGCATCCATTCGAGTATATTGAGATGATATGCTCTTTTTATAATAAAATGCTAATCATAGTCTGAATCGTTAAATTCAATTAAGATATCAGGAGTAAATGCTTATCAGCAGAAAGTGAAAGCTTTTAGCAGATTTACTTGATTTTTGCAAATGATTGTGGTCCAGTGTGGATCTGGTTTTATCTCAACATTGACAAAATATATTTGCTTTAGTAGTTTTAGATCATCTTTCCAATGCAGTGTCATGCCAATCATAAAATATTATGATTCAGATTAAGAACTTCAGCAAATTCACCTAACTCTCGTGATTTTGTCTCTATATCCAACGTGAGAACAAGAGTACAATCTCACAAGAGAGCTGAAATAGAGAATTGGTCACTTATTGTTGTGAAATTCTCTAGTGGACAAAAATCTTCTATAGATACATAAAATTCATGTGGACAGGGCGGGCTGATCTGCTTGCCTTTCTTGTATATATATTTGTTTATTGTGGACTATCCAGAGAGTTGAATTCTATTTTTTCGAGTTACTTTTCAGTGAAATGAGTATAAATCATTTGAAGCAGTTTCGAAATTATTTTCTTGGATAGCTTGAATAGCTTTCTTTTACTCTTCAATACCATTCATATAAATTCGTAAATATGACTTTTTTCAGTATAATAATTCCAAAAAGAAAAAGCTTTAATGTGCTTTATTTTAAATAATTTTACAATACCAGAGAGAAATTCGTTCACCTTTTCTTCACATTTATCTGGATTCTCTCTATCTGGTACGAGAATGTCAAAGAAAACTTGAATGTCTATAAGAGTTACCAGTGCTTTTTGGCCATTAATAAGATGATCATAAAGACGTAATATATAGCGGTATATTTTATTTATTCTTTCTATTAATCCTTCATTCTCAATGGTCATGAATGGAATATCTTGTCATTTAAATAAAGCATCTTCAAAAATTGAAGATAATCCCTCATCATTTCTTGCAACTATATTATCCAGTTTAGATGTCTGACAAGTTTTTTCACCAGAATAGCAAATCAGTTGACCTTCCATTTTATTTTTTCAGCTTCTGGGGGAAAAAGTGAGGCGGGGTATCGAGGAATCCTGAAAGCTCAGATTGGATTATGATAATATGTCATAAATATACAGTTCGAGAGAAAGTATATATTCTAGGAGAAAAAAGTTTAAAATGAAAATTCTGAATTATCACGTGATACAAACCCTTTAACAAAGTTAAGAGGTTTTCTGAAAATTTGAGAAAAAGTTTAAAATGAAAATTAATTCCGAAATATATAAATTAATACATAAATTAACTAATCATAGATATCAAAAATAGCATTTTATCAATATCTTTATATTCTCAGGAGTGGTGAAGTTTGCAATCGGGAATGCTACCGACCGGAAGGATGTCAAATTCATTGGAATTCTCCCTTACGTATACCTTGTAATGAATGTGATAAATTAATCTTTTTCAAATATGACACTTGTGATATTTATATTAAAAAACACTGTAAAATAGAACAGTACTATCAGAAAAAGCTAGCTGACTTAGCTTCGACACAGGGACTGGTAGGCAATTAAGTATAAATAGAAGCATTCTGATCATATCCTATGAATATAGTTTTTTTGATTTCTTGGTGACGCTCTTTGTGATGCTCTTGGTGACACCCTTATATAGCTAATTCATATTTTTAGAATCATCGAAAGGTTTCTAGATAGGTGTCATCATGACACTAAGAGTCATGAAGAAAAATCAGACTTCTTAATTTTTTTTTATTTTTTTTTAGCCAATCTTAAGAATGTTAACAGTTTTTATATCACACATACTGTATGTTATATATATATATTATACTATATCCTATATAACCATAGGGATACCATAGAAAAATTTTGATTTTTTTCTAGAACTTTACTTTTTCTTTGTGACTCTTAGTGACAAGGTGACAGATATAAAGGAAGATATTCAAGCACTTCCAAATTCTGAAAAAAGCATATAAGGGTATTACCAAGAGCATTACAAAGAAAAAAAAATTGAAATTTTATAATGACAAATTATGGATTTTCTAGTATTGAAAATATGCAAAAATTAATTATTCTAAAGTAAATACAGCAACAATGGAATCTGAAAACGATCTATTAAAATGCCAAATCTCTGATATGCAATTTGAGCTTACATTGACTTGCAAGGTTTTAAATATGTAATTGGAAATAGATTCATTAAAAGAATAAGTTAATGAACTTAAAAATGAAAATACTAGATTTAAAAATATGACTAGTTGTCAGGGGGATTGAAAAGCTGAATGAGATAGTAAGTTCTAGCAAAGTGTCTTATTCTAATACTGATCAATTCATAATAGATTAATTTTCAACATGGTCTGTAAACATTCTTTGCAAATAAATATATTATGCTACTTTATATTAGGATTATCTTGCTTGGTGTGAAAAAAATAATGAACAAGCATTAATTAATAATTATCTTAGTAAAAAATTCTCACAAATGGATATTGACCATAAACAGGTATGAGTAAGTGGTGGCAATAGAGAATGGCAATATAAATTAGACTGATCTAAAATTATAAGCAAAATATATGTATTACATTTGATAACTAATAGCGATTAATAGCTACAGAGATACTTAAATTGCAATAAATTATGATGATCTGATAAATTCTAGCTGACATTATCCCATATTTTTTTACCAGAATTTTAGACACAATAACTTAGCATAAAACTAATTCAAAATTAATAAACTAATAGAACTACTCTAGCTCCTGCCAGTTCCTCGTCAGTTCTATGACAGTTCTAGGAGAGTTCTATGATATTACCAGGACGCTATCACGATGCTATCATGATATCAAATTGGATCCTCAAATTACATACCCAAAAGATTGACTAGAATTATCTACTGCGTTACCTAACACAATTTTTTAATCACAATTTGGCATTTTAACAGACAATCAAGTAAGCGCAAAAAAGAAGCATTCTCAATATCTTAACAAGACACCAAACAGTCTCAGAAGCAGGTAAACAAATAGATAGCTCTTTAGAAATAAAAAGAATATAAAGTAATGTAAACACATGGATAGTTCTTTGATAAAAAAAGGTCGTAAATAATCAGGAAAATATACTCCATCAGATTATAACACTACCATTAGATCATATAATAACCACACTAATAGAATATGATACTACTAACCTACTATAATTCTATATAGCAGGAATTAATTAAAATAGTAGTTAGAAAGCTGTAAAGATAACCAAACTATATATGGGTGGTGTGCTATTAAAATTTAGGTACAAGACATAGTAAATCATATGATCCGTACCACAATTTTAATAGCACACCACCCATATTATGAAGCCACTTATAGATTATGTCACTATATCAGATTATGACATCAGGTTATGACGCTACTGTTAGATTATGACATTAGATCATACCACCACTATTAGATTATATCATCACTATTAGATTACACCACTACTATTATGGGTAGTATTCTATTAAAATTAAGGTACAGATCATATGATTTACTATTTCTTATAACCCACTTTTAATAGATCAGTTCCCATATTATTACATTATAACCTAAATCAAGTTGCCAGAGTATATTTGATATAATTATATTAAATATACTCCGACAAATACTTTAAATACAATAGAAGAGTAATTATGATGTATTGGATTTTAAGTCATAAGTATGACAAATCAATTTTATAAGGATAATGTTTAATTTATTAATAAAATATAAGTGGATCAAAATGATTTAATAAAATAAATAATGCTTGTTCATAAATTTATCAAAATATGAATTTCACAATTAATTCTTCTAATCAATTTAACTAAAACTAAACTAAATCTAAACTGATTTATTAACTAACTTCACTAACTGTAAAACTTAACTAACTGATTCTTTTATTACAGAAATTTTCTATTCTATTTATATAAAAACTTTGATCTATTTCTATTACTAATTAAAGATAAAGTAAAAACTATAAAAACTATAAAAATATTATAAACTTTATTAATTATGTTAACTAAGTAAAAAAAGAAACTTATTAAACTTAAATAACTATATAAACTTAGTTAACAATGTTATTATTATTCTGAAATTTCAGTTATTTAATCATTGGGTTGTGGCATAAGAAATTATGGCTTTCTTTAATAGTAATCTATAAAGTTATAATAGTAGTCATTCTTTTCGAATTATCTCTTCTTCTATTAGTCCAATAACTTTAAATTTATATTTATTGGAAAGCTTCTAATGTGACAGTTCTAATAATCATATTTTTATTGAAATGTAATCATTAGATCAAAGTTATTTTAATTAACAACATGCATAAATTCTAGTATAAATATTTAAAGAAAAATAATGTCTGTCTTGGCTATATAGATACAGATTCATTTATATTTTATATTGAAATTGAAGATATTTATAAAGATATGTCTGAGCAATCTGATCTCAATTGGGATCTAACTGTTGGTAAATTTAAGGATAAGATCTCAGGAAATGTAATTACAGAGTCTATGCATATCCAGGCCAAATTTTCCTATTATATTTTAGCAAACAAGATTACAAAATCAAAGCATAAGGGGGTTAGTAAGAAGGATATAAGTGAAATAGCTATAAATACTTATATTTCAATCTTAAAAGAATTATTGCTTAATGATCTAATAGATAAGACATTATTAACAGATCAAGAAGCTATGAATTAAGCTATACAAACTGATGCTAATCTAATGATCCAAGTCTACAGGATTGTCTCTTTAAAAAAAAAGTATTTCATGTTAAGAATGTAGCAATCAAAGATCATGTATTATTCTTAGTTAAAGAAGATCAGAACAAAAAAAGAGCAATGATAGTCAAGCC